GTTACAAGATTGATACACTATACTTCGTGATAGAGTTGTGCTGTAAGATTCATATGCTATAGTATATGCTATTCATGTACTATATAAATTAAATCTAAACACATTGTTGTAATGGCTATTTTAATTATCATTTTTGCTAGTTCCATCACACTATGCATAAAATGGTACGATATTACTTAAAGGTAGACTGTGATATGTTAAAGATATGTATAACCCCAGCATCACCACTAAAATAAAAATAATATAAAATTATAAAGATATAACTACTAATAGAAATAAAATTAGAATTTTAAAAATTCTTAAATATTTTTAAAACCTCATTTGCCTTTGTTTTCCAAGTTATATAAACGAAGCTCAGTATAAAAAAAGAATACTCTATGTTACTCTGAGGAGCCCATGCCCAATATAAGTAGGTGGAGGTGAGGCAAAAAGATGTGAAGTTGTGCTAACGTTGCTGAATCTGTGGGTTTTTCTTCCCTTTTAAAATCCAGAGATCTAGAGATATTCATGAATGGATGCATTCATTTATGGAAAATCTGGTTTTCAAATACTGTATTTTAAAATATTGTCAGCTAATTAAAACATGTCTGTCATCTACATGTACCCTTGAAATAACTAATTTGAGAGTTCTAATTTAAATAATGAGAAAAATAAAGAAATAAAATATGGATTGAAAATACTCAGACTGTGCTTCCTATAAACACAGCATTTATCACCTGGAGTCCTCTGCTCCTACTCTTCCTTTTGCTTTTTCTGTTATTTTTTTGGTCCCCATTCTTTTTTTTAGGTTCCAAATCAGCTGCCATCTTTCCTAGGAATTGTCCTGCTTCTCCCAGTCAGACTCCACCTTTCTTTTTCCTTAACAAGCAAGGTCCACTTGCTTCTGTTTGGGCGAAGAACCCCTAAGTCAGTGTGCTTTGAATACAGGTCAATCGATGAGTTTTTCATTCTATTGATGAAGTGACTCAATCATTAAATTCCTCCAACAGGCTGTCCCTGTGTTGTGCCTGGGATGTCCATATTTGCTTTTAGCCTAGATTTGCCTCCTCTTAAAGCTTTCTCTGTACATAGTTGCTGGGGTGATTCTTTTCTAGCATCTTGTTTTTCTCATGACACCAAAACTACATTCCATGGCTCCCTAAGGCTCGTAGGAGGAAGTCCACCTCTTAGTCCCAAATGTCCTGTCTTCCCAAGCCTGGCTTCTGTACACCTGACTCATCTCTGTGTTTACCTTGCTTTCGCTTCTTCAGTAATACAAAATTGCACACAGTTCCATATGTGTGTCTTATTCTACAGTGTGGACTCTCAGCTTAGAACATTCATCTTCTCACCTTAACCAAGCTCTTCTTCCTCAGAGGACATTATTTTTTCTTTATTGAAGTATAACTGGTGTGTCTTAATGGTGGTCAACGTGACAATTTAATATACATATACATGGGTACGATAATCACCTCAGTGAAGCTCATTAACCTATATATCCTCCCATATAGTTACCATTTCATTTTGCCTCCTCCTCCCCCCCTTCATCCTTCTTCATCTTCTTCCCCTTCTTCTTTTGTCATGAGAAATCTTAAATCTACCCACTTATCAAATTTCAAATTAGGTCTCCAGAATTTACTCATCCTGAATAATTGAAAATTTGTACGCTTTGACCAACGTCTCCCCATTTTCCCCTATCCTTAACTTCTGGCCCTATCATATGATCTAGCAATAAATGAATAAATGGAATGTATATATATAACACAAACACACACACACACACACACACACACACACAATATATATATATATACCTTGCTGGGTTTCAAATCCAGTGCTTCATGCATCCTTAACAAGGGCTCTATCACTGAACTACACCTCAGCCCTCACTTCTGGGAATTAATGCATTATCTGAAAGAGATATTTGCATGACCATGTTCATTTCAGCATTTTTTACAATAGCCAAATTATGAAAGCAACTCAAATGTCTGTTGATGGGTGAAAGGATAAAGAAAATGTGCTGTGTACAATGGATGGCAAAATGGAATATTATTCAGTGTTAACAAAGAAGGAAATTCTACCATTTTCCATAACGTGGATGAGGCTGGAGGAAGGGCAGATTCTTCATGATCTCAGTAATATGATTTGGTTTTCTTGTATTCAGCACCTCTGCCACACCCACTCACATAAAGAAACACTCTTCTCAGCCTCTGTTCTAGATGCAGTATGTGCTTGGTGTCTTGTGAGGTACAGAGTTACTGTTTCTGTTTTTAGGGTAAATGTCAAGCCACTGCCCATCTTCCCCAAGTTCAGCTATTTTAAGGTTTCCTACTCCAAACCCAAAATGACAGACCACCAATACTGAGGTTGTATGAAACTGGGGTGCCCTCTACTGTTCTCCAGAAGTATAACTATGTGACTTAATTTGATTCAATAAAAGGTAAAATTTAAATGGAACAAATGAAAATTCAAATGATAGGCCATTGTTTCTCAGGACAATCATTGAATTCCACATTAAACCAAAAGTTATTGAAATGCTAGTAAGTATTATTAATGTGAGTTTCCATGATACTGTGGTTTGTCTTATCATTTCACCATCCCCTTAGGTAATCAGCCCATCTAACATGAGGCCCTCTTATATGTTACATGAACATAATGAGGAAAGATTGAGATACCACTTCATCACAGGAAGGAGGAAAGCATTTAAGAAACATGTTTAAATACAATTTTAAATAGCAAATATTACTTAATGTAATTTTCATATGTAGAATATGTGTTGATTTGAAACTGATAGAAAATTTTAAAAAATAACCAATGAAATTTTAAATGCCCTCAATTAAAGGAACACATTCAGTTACAATTGATATTTCATTCAGTAAGAATTAACATCTGTGACTTACAAATATGAAAGAAATCCCTATTTACCTTTTGTTTTGCAAAAATAAGCTGGATGGCTTTGTGTGACAATCTATAAAGATTTAAATTCTCTAATCAATTGAACCTATTTATTTGCATTATGTTGTTTAATTCTATGAGAAGAACATCTGTTTTTGTAATACTTAAACCTGTAATTCCAACACCTAATAGGTGAAAAGTACATTATTCTTATTAGAAAAACATATTTATTCTTTTTAATTTAATAATTTTGACTATTGTTAGTTCTACATGATTATGACAAAATACCTGAGATTAAACAACTTGTAAGGATGAAAGGTCTATTTTTTTCTCACAGTTTTGGAGGTTTCAGTCCATGGTTGCTTAACCCCACTGCTCTTGGGTGTGCAATGAGGCAGCACATCATGGCAGGACTATGTAGTGGACCAAACTATTCACCTCAAGGCTAGGAAGAGAAAAAGAGAGGAAGAGGCAAGGACAGGATCCCAATATCCTGTTTGAGGGCTCACCTCCACTGACTAAACTTCCTCCCACTACACTGCACCTCTAAAGGTTCCATACTTCCCAATAGCAGTACAGGTTGGGGACCACGCCTTTGTAACCAACAAGCCTTTGTGGGACACATAAGACAAACTACAGCAAATTTCAAGGAATTTTATCTTAGGATAAATCTTTTGAGGACTCAGAAAATGAAGAAATGTCTGTGTTCAATTCATCCATCTTAGAGTTAGAAAACCCTTTCAAATGAGCATCTTATTTATCTTTAAGAACCCATAATTATTTAATAACTGTGACCAAAGATGTCATAAGAATAACAATTCATATATATTTTTTCCCACATTTTTATGTGTTCACATCGTGTTCCTGGAATTTATTTGCAATTTCTCATTTGGGGTAAAATTTGTAATTTCTGGAATGTGTTCAAAAATAACAACAGGTAGCTAAGATTTATCATACCCTGGGTTAAACATAACTGGAAAACTGAGGGGCTTCATATTCTGGAAAATTAAAGATCTTTTCTAGAGTAAATTTAGAAATTTGCCTTTCCTCATAATTATTGTCCTATAAGAAACTGTTAATGCAGTTTCTCAAAAGATATGGAGCAATAATACAAATTTCCCATGGTCTTGGTTTTTTACTTTAAATCTTAAATATTATTCCCTGATGTTTTCATCAACAAGAAGTACCTACTTCCTGTGGAAACAGCACACTATGGTCTTGCAGTTGGGGAATGTGTTGCTTTAGTGCTGGTGTTGTTTGTAGGAGGCCTCTGTCTGCCCAGGTGTCCTTAGTGCTTCCTTCACATCTCAGAAACTATACCACTGACACAGGAGACCAACATAATTACAATAAAGCCCATGTATATTCTGTCACCTGAAGTCAGTGCCTGAAGTTGTGTCCCCAGAGGATTTACTGGGGAGATCCCTTTCTTTGACCCAGACCCACTTTCAAATCTGGAGAGGCCATGGCCCTGAGCCCCATCCTAGTCATACCATGGCTTCTCCGCAGGAAATGTCCTTCAGAAAACCTCAACTGTATACTGGAATGGAGCAAGGGTTTCCTCCTAATCCCCAGTTTTACTCTGGCTTTTCCTTCCGAAGCAATAAATTAATTATTATCTATGAATTGAATAAAAAGGATTCTCCCAAGCCAGTCTCTTTTTGAAGAGAATAAGAGATGAGGATATACAGGGGGGCCACTGAGGACTGAGGTCATGTTAGGGAGGTGCTATGCAGGGCCCCAGAAGAGGAAAGCTCTCAAAGCAAAGGCCTCCGTTATCATAGAATAGGATGCTGATTTTGACACGATCTTTCTATTTCTGTTCTAAAAAGGGGACCAGTGGTTATTCCAGGGGAGTACAGAATATGTTCCTAGGGGCCTCAAGAAACTTCATTAGAAATATGGCCTATCCCAAACCAGGCCAAACCGCGGGGCCCTGAGCCCTCCCCCTTCGTGAGTTTGGCCCAGAGAGCGTTTGGTGAGATTCTGGCGGCCTCTGCCGGAGCGTCTCTGCAGAGGGACGTTCCTCCAAACCCGGAGACGACATGTGGCGCTCAGGAGAGGTGAGAGCGAGCGCGCGAGTGCGCTGGGGGCGCTGGGGGGATCTGCAGCCGGGCAGCGCGCGGCCTCAGGCGCGGCGCAGAGCCCAGCCGCAGGGCGGCGGCGGGAACGCGGGGCGCCGGATCCACTCCACCCGGGATCGCTGGGGAAGTTCGCGCTGGCAGCATGGGGCGGTGACGCCGCACCGGCCTTCCGCTCCTGCCACGGGGCGAGAGCAGGCGGTGGAGAAGGAGGATGCACCCTCGCCGACGGCTCGCCTCTCGGGGCCGGCGCGCAGGGTAAGCCCCGGGCGCGCCGGGCCGGGGCAGTGGGGTAAGAAGATGCGGACTGGGGGGAAAGGACAGGCAGCTCAGGCTCCGCCGGCACTACTCTCTTCGCGGCGCCTGAGCCTTGTGTTGCATGGCTAGGGAGCATAAGTGGAGAGCAGGCGGGGCGCCAGGGGCAGCCGCAGCGCAAACTTTCCCCCGGCGACTGCGGGTACAACCCGGGCGCGGGAGGGCATGGGCATCCTGGGCGGCGCAGCTCCGCCAGACGGGGCTTCAGGGCGCAGCACCTACGGGTCCCTGGTAGGAACTGGGGGATAGGATACCCCCGCAGCCGCTGTCGCGGGAATCGGAGGGACGAAATCGCCCACCTGGAAGGCCCCTACCAGCCCTGGGGCTCCAAGGCGCGCGGTGTCCTGGTGTTACTTGCGGGGTGGGCGCGGGCCCCGCAGGGGTGTCGCGCGCGTGTCGCGAGGGCTGCTCGAGGCCAGGGTACTCGGAGCCTCCACTGCACCGAGCGGTCCCAGCCCAGGAGGAAGGTGCTGCTTGGCGGGGCACGGGGCTTGGACTCGGGGCAAGAACAAGGGAGGTCTGCGAGAGCGGGAGCGAGCCGGGAAGGGCTGGGTAGAGGGAAACGCTAGGCTCGCCGCTGCGGACCCGGCGGGTGGCTGACCCTGTCGGGCGGCGGGTACCGGAGTAGCGGAGGCTGCGGCTCTGCAGTGCCTCCCCCGCGCCCACCTGCCCCGGTGCACCAGCCCTGGAGAGCCTGCACGGCAACCTGGGGACCGTGGAGTACAGCCTTTCTTTGGGGTATATTGATCAGAGCTGAGGGGCTGCAGGAGGAGCCGCCCGGGTTTCCCGCATGCAGCGCCTCGTGCTCGCTGTTCCGAGTTGCCCTGGGTCAGGCGACCACCGCATGGCACACTGTCCTTCTTTACTGGAGTCACAGAAGGCCTTCGCTTCTGAGGTGGAAGTACCTGTTGTGTACTTCCCAATTCTGGAGTTTTGGGGGGGTCTCCTAGGAAAAACGTTCCTTTCGAACTCTGGGCTGCTCATGCATCATGAACACCTATTTGCGTTATGCGCATGTTAAGAAATATATGCCTTCTCTAAGGTTAGTTGCTGAGCCTAAGGATGGTGTCTGCCTGGATTTCAATGCATTGATTAGGGCTCAGAACAGAACTGAGTGACTTTCCCAAATGCATTGATTATTAAATTAGTGATGGAGGCAGGATACTGAGAAAGTGGCAACGCTGTCTTATGGAAAGTTATTACATTATCGTAATCCTGTAGAAGACTTGTTTCCTAAACGTGCTTTTTCCCCCCTGTTTCCACATACTTTCTCTCAGCACCTTGCAGAACAAGGAGTAGCTGGCTGGCTTTGAACGCGTGGCAGACATTTCAGAAAGGTAAATTTATTCCACTTGTGGATTTGGCGCATACAAAACGTAGTTGCTCAGATTTATTTTAATAATAGGACTAATGGGTCATTTAATTACATACTGAAAAGTAAAATAGGATTTGAGGTATGGGAAAATGAATTAAAATGATTCTGCACTCTGAATTAAAAATGAAAATTGATTCCTATTGTAACTTTTCTTTACACCCAACCTAACTGCCTAGTGAAGTAGAAAACACCTGGTGTATGCCTGTCCTGGGATTGACAGCCAGGTTTCCTTGCTTTGTCGATGGTTGTGTGGGAGCTGTTATGATTGATTCCAGTGTAGTGACGCAAAAATTTCATGTTCATGTTTTTCCTTTTTGTGTATTTTTCAGCTTCAAGATCAAGTTGGGAGAAAAGAACAGTTATTCTTCCAAATTTATCTGCTTCAACTATAATCTTATTGGGAATGGACAATGGAATGTTCTCTAGCTTTATCATGATTAAAAACCTCCTTCTTTTTTGTATTTCCATGAACTTATCCAGTCACTTTGGGTAAGTTATCCCTTCTAGTTTTAATTTTTGTAATTTTGGGGCCAGTGGTACCTTTCTGGAACCTTGTAGAGCAGAACAGCAATTCAGCAAGCCCTTGCTTTTTACCTTTGCAGTCTGCTGCCCTTCAGTTTGTTGTAAATATATGAAGGGTCCTTGCTCCTGACCTATGATTTCTTCCTGAGCAAGGCTGCCCCTGGTGTGGGATCTCCAGCAGTATGTCCAAGAAAAGAGGCAGATAATGTTTTCAGAAATGAAAACCAAATATGGTTTCAGAGTAAAAGCTGTGTTTCCTCCTACTTGGGCTAAAACAAGATTCAGAAGTTCGCTTGCGTAAAGGACATTCACTGCTTATTAGACAGGGCGGTTGGTGTGCAACATTCTGATCACTCTCCTTGGTTCCATTATGCAATTGAATTTGCCTTTCAAGCCCAGTCTTTGCTGTGTATGTATGTGGCATTGAAAAAGGACTCAAAGTAGTCATGGCCTGAGCCAACGGCCTGGAACAGCCCATTCACATGCAGGGGCAGACATCTTAAACTACAGGTCTGAAAATCTGAAAGATACCCCTGAAGTTCTAGCATTATCATTTACATTAACCTTTCATTTTGGCCATTAGTCTCTGTGTATTGATTTTCTCTTTCATCAAATTATTGTTAACTGACATGACATGTGCATGCTCTTAGGAGGCCGATGTTCCTCCTCTCCCTCTTCTCTCCCACCACTCCAGAACTGTTCTGGCTAATCAAAAGGATTGCAGCTTGAAGCTTATGGAATATGATTAAGAAATTAAATTTCAGGACTAAAGTCACCAAAACATTAGTTCTGTAAAAACAGGCTCCAGAGGTTTCACATTATACTGTTCACATGTATAAATCTTAAAAGGATGGAGACTATTAAGTGGCTCTCCAATAGCCAGAGAAACTCCTGTTGTCTGGCAAACAGAGATGATCCTTTTGGGGGCTGTGACATTTTGTTTGTGCTCTGGGCATTTTCTGCTCTTCTGACCCTTCCAGATGTGAGCAGACGAAGAGAGAGGGGAGAGGGAAAGAGACAGACAGACAGGTAGAAACTTAAGACTTCCAAGTGCTGTGACTGCAGCCCAGGTGCACTGGGACCTGGGCACAGGCCTGAGTCTTCAAGGAGGACTTTCTCCAGCATAGCTTATCTAAGGACATGCCCATCCCTCACCAGCATGAGCCCAACAGCCCATGTTTGCTAATGGAAACCGGTATAAGTTGTAGCCAATCGAGTATTCTCTGGGGAGAAGTGTTGTATGTTATTTTTTCCTTGCTTGTTTGGACACCTCCCCTCCCAGGCCTTGTCTTTGTTAACTGCTAAATGCAGATTTTCTTTCCAAGTTCTCTCCAAGTGTTAAATTCTATAAACTGTGGTGCTCACAAAGTTTTGAATGGAAGGCGTGTACAATGAAATCCTACCAAGTATTCAACTTTGCAAGTTAATGCATTGTGTGGTCAGTTTGCTTACTGATATATTACATATTCTTAGTGATATTTTGGAAGTGAAGAGTATGCTAGGATTGACAACATATAGTTTCTTTACAATATTTTAGCCAACATATTATTGTGACTTTTCATTGAAAAGGTAAGAAGTTTTTACACTTCCTGGAAGGTTCAAGTCTGGAATAGGAAGTAACATATAAGTGAAGTGTAGCCATAAGAAGCAGTTATACTTTATTCCTTAGTTAACCCTATAGATTTCCAAGATCATGTTCAAAATAAGAGAGGTAATTATTATGTGCTGGAAGGAAACACTAAGAAAGTGGTAAGGTACTCCTCAATCTTTCTAAAAAGTTAGCTATTGGAGAAGATTTTAATTTTGATTGTTTTGATAAAACCATACCTAATAAAATGGAAAGTGCCCATAATTCCACCACCAGAGACAATCACCCTTCACATTTTAATATGCTTGTTTCTGTGCATACGTTTATATAGTTGGGATCATACTGCACATTAACTTTTGCGTAGTTTTTTTCAGACCTGTCACTTTATTATTGCAAAATCTAAGATGTGTGATTTTAAAAGGGATGGATTTATTACTATGCATGAATGCTCTGTTGTTTACTACTTCCCTAATTTGGGATGTTTACATTGTTTCTGATTTTGCTGTTATAGATTTTCTTGTAGTGAACATATTTGGCTTACAATATTTTAAATTATTTGAGATCATTTCATTTAGACAATATCTCTGTAAGTGGAATTTTACATCATTACATCATTACAGGTTCTTCGAGTACTTTTAATGCTTAACCCTGGGTGTTCAGCTGCTTTTCATAAAGTGGGGTTTTTAGTGAAGTAGGAAGTCGAGTTGCACACATTCTGTCCAGCAGGATGTACTTTTCAACAGCCACAAAAGATATCATAAAAGATATCAAATATCTACTTATTTCTCTTCTTATATGAGGCTCCTCTCACTTTCCCTTTACCCAAACATATGTAAGAATAATTTTGTCAAACCCCAAAGTTTCATAACATTTGCTTGACTTTAAATCTTCATAGAATAGCAGCTATTACAATGTACAGCCCCTATTTTTATGACTATGTTTTAGGTGAATCTTAGGAGCAGTCTTATGAGATGAGCATCCTTAGCCTCTTCTGACAGCTGTGGAAGATGGGATGGAGAAATAGCTAACTTGGGGAGTTCATAAAGCCTGTAACTGCTGGGATTCCTTACTCAGCAGGCTTTCTGTGATTGTGTCTGGTTACTTCCTGTGCTGCCTTATTTGACTACTGTTGGTTTGCAAACTAATATAGATGGGGTGGGCGGGGGTGTAATTCTGAAAGGTATTCTCTTGCTTCTGAGCAGAGAGAGGACTTTGTACTCTGAGATTAGGGGTGAGAATGAGTTTAAAGTAAACTCTTGTGTTTTTTCCCCCAAAGAAAGAGTTTATGTGATCAGGCTCAAAACAAAAGCGAGAGGGAAGTAACAAAGGCCCTGAGAAATGCTGATACCTGTAAATACACAAAAGAGGTCAGAGAACTGGCAGGGGGTAAGGAGTGAATCAGAGAGGGGAGAGGAAGGAAAGAGGCAATGTGTAAGGTTTTGTGCTTGTACAGAGTTGATGTACAGGATTTTTGAAAAGCATGTGTATCTGGCAACCAGGAAATGTATTTGTGAGAGGGGAAATATATTTGAAATTAGATAATATAATTAATGTGAAATTGCTTTGAAAATAATATGAGTATTATTTCTTTTTTTTTTCCTCATAATCCTTGAATTTATTTGGTCACCAGCAGCTCATTTTTAATAGCCATTATAATTCTGCTATTATTGTTAAATTATAGAACAGAGCATGTATCAGCATACAACAGAGCAGAGATTTTATTTGAGAGTCAGCCTTATGCAATGGCCCGTTTGAAGATGTGGGATTATTTAAGCCATTATAATTATTTTAATGAAACCAGTATCCTAAAGTACATGGGAGAAGAAAAATAGCACTGAAACAATATTGCAATCAATGTCATGCCAAAATATACACTATTAAGTTTGAACTGGAATTAATTTATCATCATTTGAAAAAAATCATACATTGTCCAACTTGGAAGACCCATGATAATTGCAAGATACTTTGGAGGATTATTCAGTCAATCATAAGGTTAAGTCCAATTCCATTCATTTAATTGCATTAAGTATATTTCATGGATTTATCCATTGAAAAAGAATGTGTTGGAATTTTTATTATGTGAGCAGTGCAATTCAGACAGACTTCAGAAAACAGTATTTTATAATTGGGAATTAAAAGCAGGTCCTTGCAGAAGTCCCTTACCTACATAAACAGAGAGGGCTATTCTTTATTTATACAAGTGTGCCAGCCTGGACTTTAGGTCTCATGTACAGGGCCTTTGCAGACACATACTCAAGGACAGTTCCCTTCTCTTAACTAGAGCAGAAAGTACATTTTCTCTGAATCATGCAGGCACTCACAATGTCTTCTTCAATGGAAAGTTCTCTCTTCTCTATCCCCGATGACAAATTCTTCCTGCCCTACAGCTGCAGGTTCATAAGGCCCAGGACAAACAGTCATTATAACAATTATGAAAACACTCAGAAAGCAGTACTGAAGCAGTCAGCAGGAACAGAATCAATGGCTCAGGGAGAGTTAGAGATCAGAAAAGTAGGTAGCTCCAGCAAGACAAGTAGGTGACCGCAGCCTGGCTGCACAGTCATGCCCAACTTTTTTTCTTTCTTTTTTTTTTTTTCTTAAGGCACCGATAGGAAATACTTCTGAATTATATACTTTATAAAGGTAACTTTTTACATGTTCATCATGCCAATAGGCAGCGAGCAGAGCTCAGAAGGATACGGCTCTCTGCCGACACCAGCTGGCAATCAGGTCCAGAATGAGTCACTGGCTCAGTTCAAGGGGAGAAGGAGAATGTGGGGTTTTTTGATTTTTATAAAGATTCAGTGGCATAAGATGTATATTCCAGTTGATGTGGAATTTCAGAGGAAAGTATTAGAATTGAAAGCAACAAGACATCTCATCGTAAAACCCTCTCAGCAGTGAGTTATAGGTGTGTCTATAGGTGTGTCTCCTTAATCTTCACAATGCATTTTAAGAAGTGTGCCATTTAATTTTCACAAAATCCTCTCGTTGTGGATATAAAGAGCTCAGGCTCTAGAGCTTAGAGAGATGCGTCTGATTTTTGCCATTGGAAAGTGGAAGTATTAGGGTCCATCTCAAGGATGCTGAAGCCTTCTCCAGAATGTCCTAATATTTATAGTGTCATGAAAAGGGAATGAATGGGAGGGAAATCTCCATATTGGTAACAGAAGAATATTTTAATTTAGAATTCAAATAACACCAATATAAAAACAGTCGGTCTACCACATAGCCTGAATAAAACCCAGTACAGGATATGGATTATGAAATTTAATGGTGTACAGAAGGTCCCAGAAAAGTAAGACATGCTATGAAACAGGCGTTAGCAATTCCCTGAGAAATCCATTTTATGTGTATTTCTTTAAAAGCCATTTCAAAA